TTTTTTTCTAACTTATTAATTCCACATATGAGTCATGTCATCGCTACATAAGTTTTCAGTCACGAAACTTCGTCACTCAGCAAACTGAAAATCCAATGTGGATATAAGCAGCCGGACACACTGCATTTTTTGAATCTCCGACGAAAATTAAGTTCGTTTTGCAAAAGTAAGTCAAAGTCATAATTATATTGCAATTATCCAAAAGTTTGGATTAAATTGTCAAACGCGAAATGGTAAAGGTTTAAATAGCAATTAACTCTTGTTCTTATATCAAAACTAACATAAATTCTTGAAATGGTCTAACCGTTAGACGGTTGACCCGTCATATATTTTTTTTTTTTCATCAATGCATGCTTGTATTATGAAACATCATAATTTTGTTTTCGTTGTTTTTTAAGAGTATAGCATTTTAGTTTAAAAGTGCATATATCTATTGAAAAAGTAAAGTTATCTAAATTGTCAAGTGTGCTTTTAATCCCAAATGCAAGAATATGAAAAAGTAAAAGTGTCATTGAAATGTCATGTGTTTGTATGGTAAGTTCTCATGTAAGATCTAAGATCTTGCAAAATGTTATATACCACATACACAAGGACACAGACCAAAACTTAATGTGGACCAAAAATGAGGTTAAACCCATAGTTTTTCGACCAGGACTGGCCCGGCGAGTCGACTCGGGACCCAGTCGACCCGCGGAACTGGTCTGGGTGGACTGTTTGGACCGGACAACAAAGAACCCGGTCAAACTCGGTCAAAATCCAGCCAACCCGGTATTGACTCGGCTGACCCAGTGCATTGACCCAGCCGGGTCCACCCGGTTGACCATACCCATATACATTTTTTTTTTCCAAAATAAAACTATGTATATATGTTAATATGACAAATATTATCATGGAATACATATTATTAACACTTTATTGTACAAATTTTATACACTAAACATTTAATTTTGTTATTTTCATGTATATTTATATGACAAAAACACTCTATATAGAATTTTAAAAGTTTTAAAATTAATTATCCAATTCAATAATTGATTCGGTGACCCGATAACCTAGAGACCAGTCCGGGATGATAACCTGGCCAGGTTTAAAAACTATGTTTAAACCTTAAACTACATGACACAAAATTTTTCCCAACTAAACAAATAAAAATATTTGAAAAGCAAAAGGGAAATCGAACCTCAAACGTGTTAAATGACAATAATACCCTTACATTATCATTTTACTTTATTGACTTTAGTCCGAAAACAATCCTTGATCTTCAGTCACTCGCGGCCAAACCACAGTATAGTGCTCGCCGGAGCCAAGCACGCCGAGCCAATCGCCACTTTTCAAGCTGGCGTACAGCCCCAAGCGAGCAGCGGCGGAGCTCCGGCACTCGAGCTCCCTCGGCAGCCGGTCCACGTCGTCCCCCTCCGCGGCCTCCGTCGCCCCTTCTCCGTTGTCCGCCGACCACCACTCGTCCGCCGCGGAGGACGACGAATACGACAATGGGCGAGACCGCTATTCCCGGGATCGCTCCTTCAGGTCGTATTTCAAGCCTTTTCTCCCGCACTATTTCTCCTCGAACGACGATCTGTATCGGCCCCACCCGCATAGGCATAAGATCTCGATTCTCATACTCGCCGCCGTCGTTTTCGCCGCCGTGATTTCAGTTTCTTCCATTGTCAAACGATTGGTATGCCGACGACCCCTTCATGTGTTTCATGATATCAGCACGTTTTGATGTTGAAAGATGCTTGTTGATTCAATTTTGGAATGGGTCAATTGTTCCATATCTGTTATCTGTTATCAGGCAAAATTAGGGAGACATGGATTAGTTATTACATAATATCACGCGTATGTGTCGAATGATAAAAGTGTAAACTCTTGCAAGGGGTCACCAGTTTGATACATCAATCGTGTTCTTTGATCCGTAGAAACGAACTTTCGGACTTCAAATGTCGTTATATTTAGTGCTACAGCGTAACAGCATAATGCCTGCAAATTCAAATATTGCAAAATTATATCAAGTGAAGTTAGAAGATCGAGATTTATGGAGAAGAACATAAATGCAGTGAGATTTCATGCATCTAGTGCCTGCATTTGACTATTAGATTATAATGGATGGTATTCCCACTGTGTGAAATCCTACTATGTTACCAGAAATTTAAATTGTTTCTTCTGAGAGAAGATGCACAGTTGTAATTGGACTTTAGATCGTAATTCATTTTGCCAATATTGTACTTGAGAAAGCTCATTCACAAAGTTATCATGCCTTTTGTTCTCTAATATCTAATAATATCTTTATTGGCTCTGCTTGCTGCTTTAATTGCAGAATGCCCCATATTTATGCAAAAAAGATGGCATAACTCTGCACTGCCCTCATGTAAGCTTAAACAATTGTTTGCTTTTTGTCCAGTTTATTATCTTTTCAGCTGATTTTGTTTTGTAAATGCATTATTTTTACTGTAAGTAGGTAAAGGAGACTCCATCACTTTGGGAAAATCCTCATTCAGCCACTACATCATGGAAACCTTGTGCTGAGCGGCGTGAGGGCATAAATTCAGGTATTCTGAAATATAGTCTGCTGAACACTGACCACTTTTATTAGAAGTGTTTGTGTTGATTTTCTCTTTGGTTGAGTTTTTCATCCTGGTTATGTCATCATAATTAAGCTGCAAGCAAATATTTGTTTATTTCTTTTTTCTAACCATGCAGATCTTCCTGCGGAGAATGAAACAAATGGTTACATATTTATACATGCTGAGGGCGGTCTTAACCAACAAAGAATTGCGGTATGTGAACTTTGTGGAAATTCACAATTGAATTTCATCTTTCTTAATCTGTTAATTCATGCATAATTGAATTGCATTCTGTGTATCGGAGCTCATCACGGTCACTTGTGTTTATTCTGCTTCTTGATAAATTGATAATGTTAACCGTATGATTGTTTGCCTACATTGGATAGCAGCCTTTTATGTTGAAATCCCTTTTAAAGGGGCATGTGACTCTATTTGATATTAAAATTTATTGTAATAATTATAATTCCCGATTGCAGATTTGCAATGCGGTTGCTGTGGCAAAGATCATGAATGCTACTCTTATTTTACCTGTGCTGAAGCAAGACCAGATATGGAAAGACCAAACGTGAGTGAAGTTGATTACATATATGCTATCCATATTTCACTTTTAAAAATAAAATTTGCCTCAGGATTCACTGAATCTCTGTGGGCCAAAAATTCACGGTTCCTTCAGCTAAGCTATAGTACAAGATTACTTTAGATAACTTTATCTTAAATCGTAATTCCCCAGCACTTGAAATATATTAGCTTGACTTTAACATCTGTTTCTTACGGCTGGAATAGAAATAGCTCATCTAATAATGTCATACTTATTTGTACCTTTTTTAATGCACAGTGAAAGGTATTGCCAATACAGGTGCAAGTCAACTTGCATTTTCAACAATCTTATCTAATCAAGCGATGTTATTATAGTTTGAGGATGGATTTACAGTAACTCGTGTTGTGTGCCTTATCTATTAATGAGAAATCTGAGACACAAAATGTATCTTAGGGTTCAAATTGTGAATAACTACATGCTATCTGCAGGAAGTTTGAAGACATATTTGATGTGGATCATTTTATTGACTACTTGAAAGATGACGTGCGGATCGTGAGAGATATCCCAGAATGGTTCACAGACAAAACCGAGCTATTCAGTAGCATAAGGTTTGATTTCTTTAAATTCTGCTGAATATGTATTAACCAGCTGTGAACAGCAAAGAAAAAATTCTTATTGTTAATTATTCACAAAACTGTAGTTCAATTTTGTTTGTAAGTCGTCATTTGTAATTTCACGATAATCCACGACAGACGTACGGTAAAAAACATTCCCAAGTATGCTCCAGCACAGTTCTACATAGACAATGTTTTGCCTCGTATCAAGGAAAAGAAGATAATGGCCCTGAAACCCTTTGTTGATCGACTGGGGTGAGTGATCGCCTTCTACTCCATGTAGAAATTTTTCATCTTTCCACGTCATAAAAGTCTATATTTTACAGATAACTTTGCCTGTCTTGCTTTACCTTAAGGTACGATAATGTCCCTCAAGAGATCAACAGGCTAAGGTGCAGAGTGAACTATCATGCTCTAAAGTTTCTTCCTGAAATAGAGGATATGGCTGATTCACTCGTGTCTAGGATGAGAAACAGAACTGGAAGTTCAAATCCTTTCATGTGAGTGACTCTGTAGTTTATTTGTTTTTCCTTTCCGAGCCCAATCATTCGTAAGGCTTTGTTTGTTTACAAAATAACTCAAAAAAAAAAAAAAAAAATCCAATGTCAATCAAAATATAACTCAACGTTAACTCAGTCCCACTATCCTCAATATTATTAATATAATAAATAATATCAATCAATCATCCTTACATATCATATCAATTTTAATTCACCATTCATCCACTCACATAATTTTAACTACCTATCACTTCCAATCATCTATCCGCTACTCTTACATCAAATCAATTTTAATCATTTTATTTTCAAGATTATTTTAATACAAACTTAAAATCTCACCAAATACTATCTTTTTGTTAATTAATCCTAATTAAC